TCTTGAGATATTCATCTGATCTGCCAAACCACCATTTTTATATCCCGGGTTATAAAAATCCGGGACAAAAGAAGATACATTACTCTCCTCCTCATATCTACATTTAACGATTCGGTTTATCGGGCCCTCTCGAGTCATATCAGCCAGAACTTTCGTCGGAGGCCGGGAAAGGCCGACCTCGTGACGGCTGCCGCGGGTTTATCGTCGTTATCGGGGTATCGTGACGGATCGTCTTGTAATACACAACAGATCCCGGATCCGATATCTCCTCGACGGCTCATCTGCTCGCGACTCGCGCGAGTCGGGGCAACGCGCGATAAGATATTCGCGCGCGAGGAAGTAACGCGGCCGTATCAGGTCGCGCAGGCGCATGACTCTAGTGACTTTTTACATGCGCACGGGAGGCCTCCACCGTGGGAATATCCCTGAAGCCTCGATTCCACCCTCTAAGAAACCATGGAACCCCGAGGCAAAGAATTCAGAAGTCTCCGTTCCCTGAGGAAAAAGTATTCATCGAACCAACGAGATATTTCTCTGAATAGTACCAAAGAAATATTTCGTTGATTCCAGGAATAATTATTTGACTCAATTAAATCGTCACACTTCCGATTAAATGTTGCATCCAATTTATCAGAGTTTATTTGAGTTTAATAATTATTCTTTGAATTAACAGAATGTTTTTTTTTTGTACCGTTCAAAGAAACGTTTCTTTGGTTGGATGACATTATTATTATTATTTTTTTTTTCTTAGTGTAGGAGTGATTCAGCGGGCCTCGGGCACCGAAGTCGGCTGGCTCGTCCAAGCGCTAACAATTATATTATTATTGGCCCAATTACGGCGTTATGGCTCCGTCCCGACGCATAATCGAGCGCCACGAACCGCTTTAACTGGTTCGCCTCGACGGGGGAACGGCCGGACGCGTTTTCGTCCCTTCCTCTCGCGTAATATCGCGCTTAACTTCATCCTATTTAATTACAGGCCGCTCCGCGTCGCCAGTTTCTGCCCCCACGACTCGCTCCTGAAGCGCCATGAGACAGAGAGGGGGAAAAACGGATTAAAAAAATTAAAAACTCGAAACACGGGCTGCTAAAGGACCCGAGGAATGAAATTTCAGGGGATGGATTCTATAACTTGGAACTCGTGAAAGTGCTAAAAACGAACACCTCCCGTGAGTCTGTAACTTTCATTATGTTAAAAATCTGAGATACTTTTGAGTGCCCAGCCTATTCCTAGTAACTGAACATGTGTACAAGCCCGTACAAAGGAAAGATTTCTCAACCCTTCTGCAGATGATGCTACTACGCACAAAATCGGAATTATCGGCTCGTGGCTCGTACGTTCTCAAATTGAGGAAACAAATTATAACAATTTTTTAGTAACACCAATTTAGCCTAAACTTTTAAATAAGGAGTTTCTTTAAATAACTAAGATGTTAAAAAAGAATCAGTGACTGGAATTTTTTAAAGAAATTCGTTTTTTCAACCCTGCTCCGCAGCCAGTGAACATTTTTCATACGACTCTATTCGTCTGCGAAAAAAGTCCGCGTGAACTGGAGAATGAGATCCCTGGTCCTGAGGGTGGGGTTTCGCAAGAGGCGATTTTTCGCCCGGGGGAGGAGCGGCTGGTGGATAGGTCGCCATGTCATTACCAGGAAGTCGGCGAAGACGAGGGAATTAATTGCGGTCGAGGCGAGAAGAGAACCCCGACGGAGTCTGTGGGAAAGATCGGATCGGTCTCGGCAGCGGACCTCGCGTGTCAATTGACGATCGCTTCGGAGCCTCCTCTCGGAAGAGGAGAGGAGACTTTCGAGGTCGCGTGGAAAACGACTCGTGGCGCATCCACGGCCTAGTGTCGGGCCAGCCGACCCTGAAAACGAAAACGGCTCCATTTTTTAGCGGCTATTTTCGCCTTCCCGAGCTCCGCCTTCGGCCGTTTTCCGCGAAACCGCCCCGTGAGGATTCTTCCCCGAGGCCGGGCTATGTTTTGCCCGATTACCCTTTCCACGGGGATGAATAATACAGGGGTATTTGCCTGGGCAACCTCGAGGGCAGGTTTGCCTAGTCGTTTATATTAGGTCGCGGCCGAGTCCCGATATCCCCCTGTCGGAATTTTTCCGATGCGACGAATAATGGAGTCGGCGGCACGTCGAGAGATGTTCGCTCCGACAGTTCGTTCGCTTAACCCTTTGACTAAGGAAAGGCGTCGGACGTTTGGTCCAATGTTGCCTGCACGCATTGATGAATTTCACCCATAAGGGTTCCGTACTCAAAGTGTTAAATCGACGTCGGACCGTCTGCCAATCGTCGATTCATTCTGCGAGGACGTGGTCCCACGTAAATATACAGGGTTTACCGGAGTTCGTTGAAAATGAAATCGAAAAGTCCTCTAGACATTTTTTCCACGATACGCACACCATGAACTCGTTCGAAGCTCGATACTAGATCCTGGGGCGGAATTTTTGCCGGAACAAATAATGGAGGAGCCGCTGGAGGCGCCGACACGTCGAGGGGTGTCTGCTCCGACAGTCCATCCGCTCGCATCGGCGTCAATTCGCCTGTCGATCGTCGTCAATTCATCCCGCGAGAATATAGACCCACGTAAATTTCCAGGGTGCATCGGAATTCGGTGAGAATAAAGTCGAAGAGTCCCGTAGACATTTTTTCCACGATGCATAGACCATGAACTCGTCCGAGCCTTGATACTCGGATGGATATCCCGTCCTGGGTCGGAATTTTTCCAGGACGAATAATGCAGTAGTTCGATTCGAGTGGTTCGTTCGCCAGAGGAGCCGGCACGTCGAGAGGTGTCCGCTCCGACAGTCCCTCCGCTCGCATCGACGTCGATACGCGCGGCGAACGCCAGCGATCCATACGCCGAGGAGGTGTCCCGGTATAGATACTCCCGATACCGGGGCGGATTCCTCGGCGAGGCGCAAAGGTGGCGGCTTTCGCGACCGAATGCCCGATTGGTGTCAAGTGCTCCGCTCCGGCGTAAGGGCTGAATCAAGGTCGCCAATCTGCATAACAATCGATAGCCGAGCTTTGGCAAATCTCAGCCGGGACTCGGCGTTACCGCAAATCGCAGCAGGGCCCTGAATTTTTAGCGACCTGGGTGAAGGGACAGGTACTTCAGCGCGGATGTATTATCGATAGCGCTCCCCGGGGACGCAGGTCGCTAAAAATCCCTCCTGGATTTTTAGCCTCCTCTCGATGAGATTCGCGAGACTCGCTGTTGATAAACATTAATCCCCTCCTGGCAGCGTGCCATATACGAACGGAATGCGTAGACATAATTCCAGCGAGTCGCGATCCGAGGCGCGATGTCGGATTACGATCGTCTTTTATTGACCAGCGATTTATGCGTCCGCTTGCGATTAAACAGCTGATCGAGAGACATCTAGGGAGCGATCTTACGATGCGATCCTCGCCTCCGATTTCCTGTCCTCCGAACGAAATATTCATCCAAGTTTGCGCGCCTCGAAGGCGTGAGAAGACGCATCTGGCGTCGTGATAATTATTTCTCTATGCGTATCCAAGGACGCCTAAGTCCTCGTGACGGTATCGACCGGCATCGCGTGCGACCGTCTATTTTATCGAGATATATAATGGCGAGCTATGTCGACGCGGACGGAAATTCGATAAGGGAGCTCGCAAGTTCAAACTGCACTCGATATTCCGAGCTCCCGAATTCCGAGCTCGCGAGGAGTCAAGGTGAACGATATCGTTAATATTAATTCTCCCTTGGTCTCTGGATTTCGTTGACTCCTCGACGACGTCGGCCTCGCTTCCATCCGTAGGTAAAGGAGATGCTCTCCTTCCGTTCTGGTTCTGGTGAACCTTCCGAGGGCGCCACGTGCCCACCTGGCTGCTAGACAAAGGGAGCTTCACCTATGCGCGACCCTGCGCAGCCGCGACTGCGCCGGGCGACACGTGCCCCCTACCGCTGCATCAGGAAATGCATTCAAAGTATTATGAATCGAGGGGCTATTCACTCGGAAATTGGACGAGACGATGTCCCTCTCCAAGATCCCATTTGTCGTTTCATGACGTTCATTGAGACTCCCGGAACAACGTTCCAGCGAATTCTAGAGGTTTCCAATGATCTCCAATATTCCGCTTGCGGCTTTCGGTGCCGGATGATCCTTCGATGATTTCAAACGCTTCTTAACCAGCCTTATCGCTGATATTAATATCCTTGTCGCTGGTTGCAAACGGTTTCGGCATCTTATATTCTACAGATGATGTTCATCATTTCCACCTGACATCTACGAGATTTTTCATGAATTAATAATCCCTCGTCGAGTATTTGATTGGTGCATAATTAATCCAACATGTTGTTCGTTGTATACCTTGCAGGGTGACGTTATTTGTACACCACCCTAATACCATCTCGCCTGCATCCTTCGTTCGATTCTCTACGTCGACTCCGCTCGTCCTTTCTCTCGCCCCCGCGAACTTCGCACGTCCAAGACTCGAGGAAGGGAAACGAAACAAAAGAGAGGAGACCATACGATGAGCAAACTACCTTCTTTCATCCGAGAATAGACCCTCGGGAGCGGCTCTTTAGCGGGCCGTCGATCCCGCCGATGCGAGTTTTCCTCAAAGGCGTCTCCCGGAGAACTCCTCGAGTATTATTCCAAATCTATAAATACCCCGAGCCTGCCGGACAAGCCACCGATTGCCACACTCGACGGTACCGTCCGCAGGAGTCGCCTGGTGACACTGTCGAGCTGGGAAGAAAATCGATACACGCGATAACGGCGACGCGGCGTTGCGCGTTAACTCTCCCGCTAGTGGGTTTCCAATTCGTTTGACTTAACTCACGGTTAACGCTCCCAAAAGACGTAAATCCCTTTTCCAGCAGCGCTCGGAATATCGGACATCCGGAGACGCCGCCTCGGTTTCTACGATACGAGATGGTTTGATGTTGAGGAAACTCGCTATATAGGAATGATGAAAAAATCTTAATTAGCGGCGGCGTATCTGGGTAGGACACTCACCGTGGTCGAAAAGCGATCTCCTGGACTTGGGTCGATCGTTTTTAGCCGCTACGTCGAGCCCGCTGCAACTATTGCGCGCCGGCGGCTCGGCCGGCGTCACCTTGAACCGCTCCGGCATCCTGTGCACTTCTCGACGTGGGGTCGAGTTTTGACACGAGTCAGTCCACGATTTCCACGCTACCCGGAAAGCGCCCCCTCCCGACCCGGTGGCGCGGATTCAAACAACAATTTCCCGCACTTTCTCGCTCGATCGCGTTCTCCATCCGCGGGGGCGCTGCAGCCCGCGGCCGATGCGGGAACTAGCGAATCCTCGACCCGGCTCTCCGCCGACGCTGCTACGTCTCGGCGATCCACGCGAGTCCACGCTCGCTCGCTGACAAAGGAGGCGAAACCGGCCCGGAAGAGTGCACGCGTATGCGCTTGCTTTTGCGCGTCGCAATTGGGACTTCCAGCACCCTCCGCGGGCCCCGCGCGGGGCGCGCGCCTCCCGAGTCCTCCCGAGTCCTCCCGAGCACGCCCGAACTCTCCCGAATACTCTTGAGCGCGCAACCGAGCTTACACGCCTAGTGTAAACTTGATAAAATGTCAAAATTCACCTACGACCCGGTGAACTTGATACGTACAAGCCTAGTTTATGCTTCCGTCCTAACCCTAGCTAATCATAATTTAATTACTCATCGTGAGGAATTCGAGGCGAGCGTTAAACAGCGATAAGGAGGGGAAAGGCGATAAGGATTAACGCTCTCTATGATTACGCCTCCGGAACCACTTGCAGTAAACAATTAAGTTCGGATTATACTAAAATTAGGAGGGAAGCATAATCCAGTATTAAGCCTCTTTGAATAGGTTGCTCCAATATTTGAGTTAAAGTCCTTAACCGGGGATTACTTAACACGTGAGTAGAGGTAATCCCCCGATTTTGGGTGATTACCTGACAGCAGATAATAATCTTCGGTTAGAGTCTTTCTTGCCGATACGTCACGAGTTTCACTAATCCGAGATTAAATGATCGTGGTTATTCATGGCTGATTGCAACCGGTCCTATGACCTACACTGAACGTCAGACGGCAAATTTTCATTTCCTGTCACGAGGCATTTCCCTAGCGAGCGAAGTCCGAACCGCGGCTTAAAACGTCGGTGGCGTCGACGCTGACATGCCGAGGACTTCTGGTCTTCGACGTTTCATGCCTGGTCGTGATCTCTGCACCAGTCGATCGCTTCGCGCATTCTCTGGAGATGTAGGTGGCGTAATCGTTACTCAATTTCGGGAGATTGTGCCGAATGTATGCACGTGACGTTTGGAACTCGAAGCTGAACGAAGACGCCGGCCGGCGAGCTTGCACGCACAGCGTCCTTCACTGTCGATAGTACCGACGCTCGCCACAAGGAGTCTCCCCTGTGGAGCTTACGTCGAGAATAAAACTCTGTCGGATCATAAAAGCTTCCTTTTTTCGAGACAGCAATTACGATGAGTGGCAGTAAAATACGAAATAAATGCTCGAGTAAGAGCGAGTCCAGTTTCACACGCAAAGTCCTTAAATGACGGATCGAATGTTTCTTGTTGTTTTCATGACGTGTTAAAATGCCTGTTACTATACGCGATGCGACATCTAACCTCACATCAGTCGACCGATCGGCGAGGAGCTTCCACCATTCTCGTCGAGATGGCGCTACGCTCGGTTTCTGCAAATCACATGGAGTGACACAGCGCTCGATATTTTAGTCAGATTTGATTACCGGGAGATAACCTCAAAATTGTGGATTTGGATTCCTGATCCAAGCTGGCTTTAACATGAATGATGGAGACTACGAAATTACGCAGTGGCAAATGCTGCTAGATGTCCTACGATCTAACTACGGAACGAAATGCGCCTTACTCGACATCGCAGCAAGGAAGAAAAGCGAAAAAGATGTTATGTCGTATCTGTTCAAAAAGGCGGATTTTAGGTAGGGATTTATGTAAATAGATATTACGTTACAGGTTCTATGAACTAATAATTAATGTCGCACGCCATGCGAGAGAGGCAGCATTGTAGAAGCGATATTAAAATTATTGTTGGCAGAATAAAACAGCTGAGTAATGAGACTGATTTTATAAGGTCTAACAAGAAGTATAAAATATGCACTCAATTAGTACGAGTGATATACGATCGACACCATTTTTATTACCTCAGAAGTATTTTAAACTTAATTAAATACTATTCAATTAATTCTATTAACAATGCTGCTTTTCTAACGTCAGGCACATCCTCTCTTTGTGGCTCGAGGAACGTCAGAACTCCAACAAAACAAAGTCCACTGAGAAGGCGGAGCACTTGAAAAAAAAGGGCAATGAGGAATTTCAGAAAAAGGATTACCGGTCGAGTATACTCTCGTATACGAATAGTGCTAGATTTGCTCCTTGGAAAAGTAAAATTGCAGCCGTGGCTATTGCTAATCGATCTGCCTCGCTCTTCTATTTAGGCCTTTATGAAGTAAGAGGGTAAAAGCAAAATTCACCCAAATTTTTTAAAACCTTAATATATCTTTCATTTTTTATATGAAATTTCAAATTATGAGAAAATTCAAATTGTGATGTATCTACTCAGGAGTGTTTAAAAGACATAGAGCTGGCTATGGAATTGGAATATCCATTGAATTTACGGCATAAACTTCTCCTGCGTGAAGCTCAGTGTCATTTGAAAGGCAAAAGAAGAAAATTGGCTAAAAAAGCATTAAAGAAAGCTCGTGAAATCATTGCCTCGAGTGAAACTCTATCCCTTTCGAAAAAAGGTATTTTTATACATCCCTTTTTTTAAATATCTAAGGGTAAGCATTATCCTTAAATGTTTTCCCCTTTTAATCTTCAAGATTGCATCGAAAAAGAGATCTCTGTACTATCTTTGGAAGCTTTAGAAATCAATAATTCTTTGGAAGATGAAGTGAGTCCTTTATCCCCCGATGATGAAAAGCCTAAATTTCCTTTTGAAAAAAATCCAAGTTTTCCGTCCGCGTCAGTTGCTTTGGCCCGAAGATACAGTACTGATAGAGGAAGATACGTCACCGCCGAAAGAACTATAAAAAAGGGCGAACATTTATTTGTAGAAGAGCCCTTTGCCTTCGTCTTGTTGGATTCTTCAAAATCCGATGGGATTTGCGGAAATTGTTGCCGGAAATACGGTTACAGACCTATTCCGTTAGTTCTTATGATTATTTCACAAATTACTATTTTTTTTTCACAGTCCATACAGTGAGGATTTAAAACATTTAATAATGTTCTTTTTATAGGTGTATATCATGCCCAGAGGACCTGTATTGTTCCTTAAAATGTTCTAAAGAAGCGTTTCTAAGGTATCACCGCTTCGAATGTCCTGGAAGCCAAATGGGTTTATACCAACAAATCGGTATAGCTCATTTAGCTTTGAGAGTATTACTTACCTGCTCTTTTACTACCGATAAAGAGAAGTTCAACGAGGTGCAATGCTTAGTAACAAACATTAATGACAAACCTCCCGAAGATCTTTTGATGTACGGAATTGTAAGTTTCTATGGTTAACTGCAAGAATTATTTAATTCTGGTCCGAACCTATATAATCATGTTTGTTTTAATATCCTCTGCAGACCTCATTGATGTTAACTTTATATCTCCGTACTTACACTGACTTCTTTACTAATGTCAACTTGAAATTATGCTTCGCTGACAAATTTTCATGTAGTGGTACAAGTGAGGTTGACAAGTTTCAGCATGATGTTATAAATTTTGACGATAATTTCTCGGTCACTGATCAGGAATTGTACGTTAGTACTTTACTCTTGAGGTATATATTACAATTAATTTGTAACGGGCATGCGATTACAAAATTGAATTTAACTGCATTCAGTAATGATACGATAGCTTCAGAAACACAAGAAAGAATTGCTACAGGAATTTACACGTCAGCCAGCATGATGAACCACTCCTGCGACCCGAACATAGTACACAGGTAATTTAAGTGATTGTACCCCATAAAGGAAGAGATTATTTTTGCATAAAAAAAATTTGTTGCGATTTGTATTTCAGTTTTCACGGCAGGTTTTTGATTGTTAAAGCAGCCAGAGATATTTCAGTAGGCGGTGAAGTCTTCAACTGTTATGGTTTGCAAAGATTTCTGTTTAAAAAAAAATATGATGAATTATGATATTAGAATTATTAGAAACTGATCATTTTATTTTCAGGACCTCATTTCAGAAGAATGCCGACTAGTGAGCGGCGGAATCATTTAAAATTACAGTATCACTTTTTATGCAAATGTGAACCTTGTACTGATCCTAAACTTCAGAATTTTTTGGTACGATTTGATTATTTCAGCAATATAATACTCAAAATAGTGATAATTATAATTTCCTTTCTTTTTGAAGGAACTGTTTAAGGCGTTTATATGTCCAAAGTGTAAAGGACCCATTTACAAGATTCAGGAAACCACCTACTGGTGTTTAAATTGTCAAAATAAATACGCCATTGATTACACACGTGATATAAATCATGCAGATGAAATCTTTAGAGCTTCACAAATTTCTATTGAGAGAAGTCAACATTTCGAAGCCCTCGAACAACTGCAAGAATGCTTAAATATAAGAAGAAATATTTTATATCCACTTAATGAAGACATTACAATTACGACAGATACCATTGGGAAAGTTTATGCTATGTTGGGTAAGTTGCTAAGTGTTGTAAAAAAATAATTAAAGGCATACATTAATATATTTTAGGACAATGGCGGAAAGCCATTGAAGTTTTAGATCGCAACATCAAGAGCATTGAAATAAGATTTGGATGCGACAGTATAGAAGTAGCCAACGAATTGAACAAACTAACTGACATTTATATCCAATGTTTGCGTCAAGAAGAGAATATCAAGAAAAAAAAGTACACACTCAAATATTTATAGTTTAATGATTATCATAATTTTTTGAACAGGAAAAGTAATTTTTATTACCACGTTATAGGCATACAATTGGAAAAATTCAGAAACTTCTGGATCGCACTGAAGAAATTATTAGTTCTAGTTATGGGCCATGGCACGAAAGCCTTAAAGATGTAGTAAACAAAAGATTGGAATTATATGCTGCACAGGAAGAACTGAAATGAGGAAATACAAAATTAAACATACTAAATATATGAAAAAGTTATTTTATAGTTCCCAAACACCTAGATAATCCAATAATCATTTCAATTTTTTGGAGTAGCTTGTAAATAGAGTTGGATAAGTGAAGTATCCTCGGTAATTTACGTAGATTTTTACAGTAAATTACTAGATATTTTACATTATAAGATTTGTATGCGATGTAAATATTGTAGACGTCGCTTCAAAGGACCTCCCCATTGGTGTCGCCTCGGGGCTCGGCTCGGCTCAGCGGGCTCTGCTCCAGAGATGAGTTGGGAGATTGCTTACGGGCAGGATCGTGCGATCGCATCCTGTGCTGCCCTCTGGTTTCGTACGTTAGCTTCCACCGTTTTTTGCCCCCAAGGGTGGCGCAACGAATTTCTGATAGGAGCTCGCGCACTCGCGATAGCGGTACCATCTACCAGTCGCCATTGGCGGCTCACGTACATACATCAATATTCCGTCCACCAATCACAGTCTACAAAGAGAGGCCACGCTTCAAAAGGGATTTAGAGGTTCCATACTCTAAAATCGCGCGTAGTCTATGAGTATACGTAAACTAGATGAACTAAATTAGATTTATTAAAACAGGATCTAAGCTGCCGATGTGAACGGAAACAGTGTTGCTAAATTATCAATGAATTCATTGTAACTATATAGGGATGATTATAGAGTCAGTCGAGAAGTCGAGAAGACAAGGGGCAACGAAAAGAAGCACGAGGAAGAGTATCTCGTATCAAGTGAATTATGTGAGAGAACAAGAAAGTTAAACCCAATGAAAGAGATGACCTATCAACGAGTTGTTATCTTTCCTAGAACTGGCTCATAGAAGGTAATAGAAATTTGCATTGATTTTAATACTTCTTTAAGCGATGGGTTTTTTGGTTACAGAGTAAAAAGTAAATAAGAGAGAAAAGGAGACATTTAGCTAAAATGACAGTTCCTGATAGTATAGATGTGAAGCAGCAGACCGATTCTGATATAACTGACCTTCTTACGAAGACGGAACAATGTAATAACAATGATCTACAGGGTGATTTATTAAACGATGAGGACTCGCATGTACCGGGTATATCGATTCCAAATATAAGCACAGAAGTACCAAAAATGTATGATACTTTAGATGGAAATAAGTCTATGAAAGCATCAAAGGACGGGATCATCGAAATTACTTCGTCAAACATACCCTTTACTCCACCGGATGGAGGAATAAGAGCTTGGATGATTCTATTAAGCAGTTTTTTAATTAATGGGATTCTCTTCAGCATTATTAATACATATTCTCTTATCCACATGGAATTACAAAAGAAATTAAAGGATGCTGGTGACACCGAAGCATCTTATAAAGCAGGTAAGATATTTGCATTATTGAAATTTAAATTTACTTACATATTGACATGCTTATACAAAGTGATCTTCTGAATTAGCAATGGTGGGTTCTGTTACCATTGGAACAACATTTTTGTTATCTCCAGTATCTGGAGTTCTTACGGACAAATTTGGAATACAAGCTACAACATTTATAGGAGGTGCCATTGCCTCCAGTGGTCTGTTTTTATCATCTATAGTTTCTGACAAGGTAACTAATAATACATGAATGATGGATATTAAGCTTTTCTGTTATTTGTTTATGTTACATTTTTATGTGTTTAGATTGAAGCGCTCTGTTTTACATATGGACTTATGTATGGACTTGGAGCAAGCTTATCATATACACCAAGTTTGGTAATTTTGGGGCATTATTTCAAACGTTACCTAGGTCTAGTTAATGGTATCGTGACAACAGGAAGTTCGATCTTCACGGTCTTAATTCCATATTTAATTGAATATCTACTACGAAATTTTGGACTGAATGGAACACTTAAGAGTTTAGCTGCTCTTACAGCAACTATAATGCTTTGTGCCATTCTTTTCAAACCTTTACAAGGTATGTAATGAATTTGTGTTCATCATCTGTAGTGATCAAGATTTTAATTGTGAGCAATGAAGATAATTTAGCTTTTGATGGCAGGAAGCTTTCTATCGTTCTTCTTATTCATCAGCCAATAATTAGCAAATGAATACCATTGTGGCTTAACCATGTGCAATAGAACCATTAATAGAGATAGGACAAATTGCCAATAAACAAAGATTCAACTAATAATGGTACAATAAGACACTACTAGTAAAAAGCTTCCTAGGAACATAAAATGTATAGAATTGATTAGTTTATATTCATTTAGTACATAAAATTACCTTGATAACGCTTGATGAAATTTGTTGTTTAGGACATTCTACCATGGAATGTAATGACAAATCAAATATACAATCAACATGGAAGAAGATCATTAATGTGTCGATTTTGAAAAATAAACAATACTTAGTCTGGGCAATCGTGACTCCTTTGGCACTATTTGGGTTAGTAGACTATTCTAACGGTGACAAGCACAGTGTATTTGTTCCATTGAACATTCGAATACAATTTACCCATTACTGTAGGCTAACATTTAATTTCGTCCCTTCTTTAAACGATTATTATTTCCATTCCATCTGTAGCAGAATCATGGTCACGTGGATCGATGTCCATTATTAGTGCTTCGCTTAGAAAATGATTTGTACTCGACGTTCTCAACGACCTGCCCTCGTAACTTTTTCATATCTCGTTTTGTTTGTTTCGAAAGAAGGCTTCTCTTATTAACACTGTCTATTTTTCTAGTTACTTCGTTCCATATGTACACATGGGAGCATTCATTGAGAGTAATTTTAAAAATGCTGACAGAAAGCTTCCTGTGATGTGTATTGGCATTACCTCGGGTATCGGACGACTTGCATTCGGTTACATAGCAGACTTGCCAAAAGTCAACAGAATATTTCTGCAGCAGGTATATATTGTACTAGAATTCTGAATTTTAATTACATCTAGGATATGAAAACACTGTTTCAATGGATACGAGATGAAGAGAAAACATTTAATTGGAATTTTTGTAGATTTCATTCCTAAGCATTGGAGTGCTGACAATACTTCTACCTGCAACAAGCTCGTTTAAGGTTTTACTAGTTATTTGTCTGTGCATGGGCCTGTTCGATGGGTGTTTCATATCTCTGTTGGGTCCAATTGCATTTGACGTTTGTGGTCATAAGGATGCTACACAAGCTATTGGGTTTCTATTAGGAATGTGTTCGATACCTCTAACTGTTGGCCCACCGATAGCTGGAAGTCTTTATGATCACCTTGGTAAGTTTTACTAACCCCACGCAAATACATAACATAAAATCATGACTGAACACGTAATTTATAAAATCATTGATAAACAGCAAGGTATGTTCTTTTTTAGGCTCTTACAGTCTACCATTCATATTAGCTGGAATTCCGCCAATAGCAGGAGCTTTGGCTATGTTCCTCATAAAATGTTTTAAAGAACCCAGAGTACGAGACACAAACGATCCTGTAGACGAATCTGCCACTAATTTAGCTTGGGAAAGTAACCGGTAAAAGTACTCGCTGCACCCTCTAAAGACAGTTAACATATTTTTATAATATCCGACTTTACGTTTGATTGCCTCGTGACCTTATTACTTGCATTTACATATTCTTTTCTTTTTTCTTACTCCTTATATACTATATTTTTTTCTTTATTAAAAATATCATAGATTCGGTTTATACCTATAATATTTAGGACCGAATAGATATCAAACTTAGGTCGGACATACCGGCACGAAGGAAACTTGACACTGCATATTTAGATAGTTTAATGTTTCGTAGAAGCAAATTAATTGCATGATGTTTTAAATCACAGTGTTCGTTAACGTCGTAGAACTAGGGAAGAGAAGTCGTTTACGATTTATATGTCATTTGCTCGGAAAGCACAACAGAATAATAGAGTTAACTTTAACGGATAATCAAAAATGAAAGCCACGTATGAAACTTAAGCACCTCACGATCACTGTATCTCGGAATGCCGCTTTGTAATTTTATCCGGCATTTAACGTACATAATCGATCCCGTTTTAGCGAGGCCAGGTTGCATTTATTCTACTGAGATTTTTACTTTTCTGCATTTAATATCTTAGAAATTGACACTACGTCCTGTAGAAGGTTTGGCATAAGACTTTGTGTTTTTCTATTTGCCCAAGGTAACATCTTACACCCTTACAGATTCCTATAAGAGGCATTTACTGTATGTGAAATCTAAGAAGATTATTAGTACATGTGATGTTCCTAATATTAGATTTAATAGTAAAATGTAATCGGCTGGTGGGATAACTCCTGGTCTTTCACAATACCATAGGGTACACTTTTTATTAGGGATTGGATTGCTCAACAAACGTATTTAAACGTTTACTCAATAGTTATGCCATCGACTAATACATTGTGTCAAAGGCATTCTCAATTGGAATTAACCCTGGAATTCTGGTTCCTATGTCCAATTAAAAGTGCAATGTGTAAAAGATGAAACGCCATGATCTTCGCTCGGAGTCGACAGGCTTTTTTGCGAGCTCTTGCGAAAAATATATACCTACATGCAAATCAAGCGAGGATGCACCGTTGTAGGATTGGATCCACAGTACAATTTTCGCCTTAGCTCCAAAAAAGAGGGACACGCGTAGAGCAATAAAGAGAATGTGATGCTTATTTAATGGTCAGGTTTTGACTATAGAAAAATTCAACTAATGTTAACGCTGTTAAGGGTAATTCTGGAGAGAGTGTTGTATTTTATTATGTATTTCCATTAATATCTTGAATAGAAAATGTAATAAATATATTTTATAACAGTTACATTCCTAGACTACTGTACACTATGTCCGCTGTTTGATCGATAACAGATTGCACAGATCGTAACCATTTCTATGACATGAAGGCACTGTCCCCCACTTTTCTCCATTTTGTTACTACTATTCAAACAGTATTAACCCCCTTTTAAATTAAATTAATTGCAAGCTAAATTAAGTACACGTTGTAAATGATATTTCAACAGGTAACGAACGCTTATTCGCTTAAATTCCCATAACGCAAGGAATTATATTCCCGTTGCAATATTCTTTAAAGGCACCTTGTTATTAGTAGAATTATTTAAAATTAATATTTCAAGTTTTCAAAAAGAACCTCTAAACCCCAATCTTTGTACTACAATAGGAAGCCCGAGAACCCTGTTGCAGGTTTCAATTCATTTCTCTTTAAAAAAAAAAAGAAAATTGAAAAAAATTGCACTTTTGACGCACATGATTATTATTGCGTAAAACTCGCACTTTTTATGTCATATTAACATTAAATTCAAAAACATACTTCTTCCATACTTTTTCCTTTTTCCAGAGAATACGGCAAGAATCTTTGTTCGGTACATTACTCGGCAAAATAATATTATTCCCCGAAAATGTACAATACTTACTTTAGATTACCAGACGTGCTGGATAGCCTCATAAACGAATGATTGTAACTTTTAGGTTGATCGTTAACGTTCTCCACATCCGGGACAATGCCGAACAAGAGTTCCTGTGGTTGAGCCATGCGTCGTCTTATTTTGTCATTTTTAGGTTTATCATCGCTGGTCACGATACTGCTGCAAGCGTCACTGCTACAAGGTTGAAGAAAAAATGATTAAAAAAAAAATGAGCACACTCTGGATTCAAGGGGTGTATACTTTTTGGTAATTATTACATTTATAAGAGATGACTTGATTCAAAAGAATGAGAACGTACTTGTCCGGGGAACAGCTGCGCGTACTGGTGGGACTGTAGAACGTGGACTCGTTGCGATACTCGCCCGATAAGGACAAAAGATCCCTGTCTCGCAGGACGTGTTTCAGTAGCTGATGTTGCACCTCGCTTTCTTGCACCACTTCGTTTAATTGCGACTCCATGTCCCTAATGACGATTTGCTTCTCAACGGCAGTGCAAGCTTGTTCAACAGCAAGATTTAACATTTTCTTAAGCAAGTACCGTGCTTCTTCGACCGTTCTGATTGTGGCTACAAGACTTTCTATCCCCGGTTCCTCTTGGCTTTCACCTTCTTCGTCGCCGTCCCCGATTTGCATCACATCTCTTTGACATTCTGCAATGCTTTCCTGAAAAATTTGCAAAATTCTCCGTTCAACTTCGCAAAATTCTCTATACAAATTCGCAAAATTCCCTAAATAATCAACGCCAAGGGACGCGTACCTGTAAGTAACTGACTTTGCTCCGAACATTGTCTATTTCTTCGTCAAGTTCAGCAGCACTAACTTCGGTCCCGGAAGCTATCAGTGTACTTCTGTTCCGAAGCAACCGATCCAGCTCCCTTCCCAAATGCTCCCTTTCTCTCAAAAGCCTCTCCATTTCTCTCTCGGTCTCTGTAGCAGCCTGCTTGGCTAACGCTAGCTTGGTTACCGTTCTCTCGAATGTCTGCCATCGTTGCTTGAGAACCTTCGGTCCAAGAGTCTCAGCGGGCGTCCTACCGAAGACTTTTCTACCGAATCCTCGATCTCGTTTCCTCAGAGCAGTGACCTCTTCCTGCTTCCTTCTAAGCACGACCTCCTTCATCTTTTTCTCAGCTTCCAGCGACCTGATCGTGTTGGCATTCTTCCGGCTCTCTTTTCGCAGCTTCGCGATTTCCCGGTTGCGCATAAGCTCGTTTTCCTTGTGCCGCTGTGCTTCCTCTCTCATTTTGTTCAGAAGCTTAACCTTCGCCCTCTTCATCTCCGCCAAGTCGTTACGGAGAGCTTGCAGTCTGTTCTCGTTTTGAGACTGGCTCCTCAGGAGTCTCGTGTGTTCCTTCTTGGCTGACTGAAGCATCTGCACCTCTTTCTGCATCGCGGAGAGCTTTTTCTCGTATTCGTCGCGCAACCTCTTCGCCTTCTCCGTAGGCGGGACAGGATGTTGCTGAAGCGAGGACAAGACCTTGTCCCTCTCCTCCTGGGTGTCTCGAATACGAGCTTGGAGTTGGGCTAGTTTGTCTTCATAGTGCTGTTTCATGCTTCGAAGACGTCTTTGAGAGAGCTCCAGTTCGTTAATTAAACGTTGTTTCACGTCTATATCCGACGTCAGTGTCTCCAGCTGTCTTCCCATCGCAGCCTCTTCTTCATCTTCCCCTAAACATAACAAATGTAGTCCCAAATCGGGTCCACTAATTTCTTTTTCAAATCTAGTGTAATTTTACAAACGTCCAAATCAGTTTAGAATTCTGAGATTTATGACATTTTATTACCTTTCCTGGCAGCGTCATCCGCGGAATCCTCTTCGCTGCTTGATTCCTGTCCACTTCCAGTTTCATTAGCTTCGTTATACTCCTCTTTCTCGGCAGTTTCCACATCATGCTGAGCTCGTTGCTTCTTCAAATTTGCCAGAGTTTCTATCTCTTTCTCGAGATCCCTTTTTGCCTCGATCAGAATGGAAGAGGAGTCGCTGTGCAGAATGCTCGATGAATCCGCGTAAGAATTATTTGCGTTCATCTGTGTAAGTACGAGACAATTAATCAGTTTCTGGCAGGTAAATCAAATAATTTTGTTCTATAATCACCTGAATTTGTCTTCTTTTCAGTTGCTGATACATCGCTTCTGCTTCCAGTAACCGAGCTCGTAGTTCTTCGACTTCTTGCACGTAGTCCTGAACCAATTTGGTCACCCCCTCACCGTCGCCTTGAGAAGACGATAACCATTGTCCAGTTGCCTTCTCAGCCAACAAAAGTACATTTTTCGCCGTAAGTGCTTCAACTGTTTCTGACAGAGCTTTCACACGAGTGCGAAGATTTTGTAATTCGCTATTTAACATTTGATTTTCGTGCCAGGCATCATTTATGCCGTTATCGTCAATCAGTCTCTTTCCTAAAAATTGGGAAAAATGAATAAGTTGCTGTACGTTACGATGCTTCTGTATAATATATTGACCTACCTTGTCTATATTCCATTAATTCTATTTGAAGTTGTTGTATCTCTCTACGCAGAGAGGCAATCGTTCTTGAACTCTTATCCTGATTGATGGTAACTTTGTTCTTTATGTTCCTAGCACGATTAGCATACTTCAATGTGCTCAGTGTCTCCATGAAGTCCCGATCACTTGGTGACACACATGCTATCATCACGGTTTGACTGTTTCCACCAAGGGAATCCTGAAGAAGCCTTGTTAATTTGGAATCTCGATAAGGTATATGCAGGGCTTTCTTCGACTTATCTCCAAGCGCAGAAATGACATTTCCTAAAGCTAGCTGTGGAATTATATGAGTAACTTAGTACTAGTCAAGTACTAAATAGATCAGTAATATGTTTGGAGGATTAATAAGAACACAATACATTGATAGTAACTAACCAAGCCACAGTTTATTGAGATACCCTCTTTAGCCCTTTCTCCAGTAGCACCAGTTCTTTTCAGTCTTTCCGAACCAGCCAAATCAACAAAGTGGAATTTCGCAGTGAGCGTTTCAAACTCGGTAGCAGGGTCTGTTCGACTAGTGTCGATGTCTGCATCTGGATCTTCAATTTTGACGCACCTCTGTTGCTTTAAGTTCACGGTGAATATCGCGTGTGACCTGGAGGATTGTGTATTCATTTGCGTAGAACCAGTTGTACGTGAAAGAGCACCCAATCGCAGGTATTCTAGAGCTACTTCGGGACTGGTTATAACTTTCGATGAAACACCGGTTACGTGAATCATTCCTAAGGAATCTTCGTGTATTCGAGCACCTCCTCTTGGCCCACCAGGTTCTAATAGATCTTTGACATCTTCATTGTACAATTCTAAGAACTGTGCAGTTACCTGTTAAAGTTAAATCAATTGTAAAAGAATACCAACCACAAATGATTGAAAGTAAGTGACCATTTCATGGTAACTGGTACTCAAAACATATAAATACTTTGAAATCTGGAAGCATCTGTCCTCGTTCTTGGGCTTGTTCAACTTTCTCAGCGATCTTATCAAAAAGTTGGTGAATCGCTCTAGGGATGATACCAACAATATCTTCCTCTATTTCAACGTCAAATCCTGTGCCCATAGTATACGTCTTCCCAGATCCCGTTTGGCCGTAAGCAAAAACGGTTGCATTAAACCCATTTAAGGCTCCTTCAACAAGGTGTGCAACGCATTTATCATAAATCGTCTGTTGGTCAACATGAGTATCGAAGACATAGTCGTATGTAAAAGCCTTATCCGGCCCAAGAAAAACTTGAGGTTCTCCAGGCGGTACTTCTGTGCAAATTCTGCACACATCGATGACCTCTCGGGCCACCTGAGGCCTTATTCTGAAAACACGAAACACGATCATAAACAAGAAATGCTTAATTTAACTAATTTCCCCTCAACGAAAATACTGTAATAAGTTTATACTCACCGCACAGCGACTTGTACGCTGCAATCGTCACACATTGTATAGATTTATAAAAAAATATCGATTTCCCTACTTTGACTTGCACCTTCAATTGTCAAGGTTGACAGTAATTACAGAGGCAAAGTGTCGCTAAAATTCCAGCCGAGGCACATCTCTTACTGGCCGTATAGACGATTTCTAGATACGCAATAAAAACGTGCTACGGGCACGGCAGTCCGTGTCGTAAGTAGCATTTCTTACACCTTGGATCACAACGCCTCGTCGGAGAACCTCGCTAGCGATCGCTAGCGATCCGATTCAAGGCCTCAACTCCAGTACGATCGCCTCCGATTAAATCCGTATAAGGCGACCGCCCGGTAGCGGTCCACGCGGTAAACAGAGGCACCACGTTATAAAGAATAGCTTTGTGTAGCATGATGCAAGCAGGTAAAGTAAGTTTCTGCATTTATTAGCATAGAATGAGCCAATCAAGGAGCACGCAAGGCCAGGATGGAGGCCACAGATAAATTTTGCTAAAACGACTCCATTGGATATTCCGATGAACGTCCATCTTCGTTGGTTGTTTCTACCGGAAAAGTCTTAAATAAAAAAAATTTGAAATCAGACCGTCCCGCCAGCTCTACTTATACCGACACTTGTGGAGAGGATCCGGGAGTTCGCCGTCAGATGGCGCAGCTAGTGCCTGGTAGATAAATCCGAGGGAAGATAAATCGATCATCTTACGGGAAGATAATCGTTTCGGAGGGTGCCATCGAGATGGGACCGAACGGTGAAGTTGACACGGCGTGACGCAAGGTGCCGGGGAGAATCGTGAGCGCGCAGTTCGCGAGCGTAGCGTGTCGGTTAATACGCGCGTTTCGGCCCTGTTTTTGCACGAAGGCAAGGTATCGAGGAGCAACACGAGTTTCAAGCGTAGGAGCGGGGAATTCGCGCGCAAGTTCGGGTGCTGGCAGTTCGGCGCTTCAGGAGTCTCAAAGGGGCAAGGGCCCGCGTAGGATGCGCGTGCGCTCACGGTTAACCGTCAAAAGCAGCGAAAAGCCGGAGCAGGAACGGCGGTAAACAGTTGGACCGAGTTCGGCGCAAACCACGAGCGGGCCAGAAGACCCCATCTTCGAGGTCACTCTGAAAGCCCTTGTAAGTATTCCCAGTGTCCCCGATCTTCGCTCTCTTGGTCTCTCCAAGAAAACCCTCCAGTCTCCCTTGGGAGATCCTACTTTAAAATTCTTACGGGCAGGGTGGGATCGATTAGGCCGCGCGCAAGTTTTAACTTGTCGGGCACGCGTCAGCTCGCATCGGTGCACGGTCGACCCTTCGCCCGCGTCGGGTCGTGTCCCACCAAGTCGGTTCGCGCGCGCTCGGAACCGGTTGCACGTTCAATCGCGCTGGGAGTCGCCTCATTCGCCGAGTCAGCCGCGCCTACGGGAGACCGGTATCTCGGTCTTACTCGCCCCGCCCATGCGCTTGGCCGTGAGTGCGACGCAGAAGACCGGCAACGGGCCCCCCGCCGCGCCCCCCGCGCTGACCGACGCGCAGTCAGCGGCCTTGATTGCGCGCGCCGAATTTCGGCGGGTCAGTTTACCGCGCGCGCGGGTGAGGGGAGGAGCCGAGTTCCCGATCTATGCCGTCGCGCAGTCCGTGTCCGTCCGTGGGGGCGGACAACTTGGCGGCGCTCGCGACGTTTCGCGCTGTACACGCGCTGACTCGGTGGACGTTCACTGCATCGCGGCGCGCAATATTAATAAAATACGCAGTTCCCTTCTGACCTGACCTCGCCTACGTGCTACATGGAACGACCCTCATTTCGTGACCTCGCAGACCCTTCTCGTGACTTCTCGTCCATGGACGAGGCGAGGACCACCGAGTGACCGAGAAGATCGCAGGTGAGGGCGATCGAGGGGACGGAAACGATAGCGCCGGCACGTCGTCTTGCCAGGTTTATGCGCTTCTTGGAATCAAGCAGTCATTATCGAGATTTTCCGGGGATCTGATACGTATCCTCCGTGGGTTTCTTAAGGTTAGGCAGTTCTCGCGGTCTCCCGGAAATTTTGGGTGCAGCGCACTCCGCGCTCGGTGCTCTAATATTAATCTGGTGCTTGCTCCCCTTTTTTCGCTCCGGCTATTTTATCAAGTTCTGCGGACACTCGTGGAACGGTCGCGTCACGGACAGATGGTCGGAAGTAGGAAGGGACGATTGTGTTGTCTTTTTTGAGGACGTAAAAAGAATGCCCGCTGGAGTAAAGCTACCTAGGTCTTTTTTTAAACGTGGCACGCTGAAACGGTATTTGCGCGAAATTGAGGTAGGACCGCTGAATAGAGGCGTAAATGTAGGAATTTTGTCGAAAAAATTCTGTACTCATGGATCGGAGCATTTGAGTAATATGTTGGAAGAGTAAGAACTTTTCTGGGGTTTTTTTATTTATATCTTAGGTAGGTGGAGTTTAGAAAAATCGATGATTAAATAAGTGCTAGTTCCATACAACTCAAGTTTCTTTATCAAGAAACATGCGAGTTAGCACGTTCGGCTAGTTAGTGGTTTAAGTGTACCGGATTAACCGTACACTAAGAAATCATTTAGCGATGCTTTACCTCATTCTTTTATCACTTTTGTCGCGTATCACCAGACTAGTTTCGTTTTATCTAAGCCAAGCCCATTCCTAGTTTTACAATGGATTTATGTAATGCTTACATACTGATTTCTTTTCTTTTTCAGTGAAGTGATTCAATGTTTTCTGTACTCTTGGTGTGCGCCGATAGCTACCAGGCTCCTCCAATACCACCGTTGGACCCGACGTTCTCAGAGTTTCGTGGATCCGAAATTAGGCATGTACCTGTCATCAGAGTATTCGGATCTACGTCAACCGGTGAGTCTTTAATAGCGGATAGTTTGAACAAATCATTTGTGTACCTGTTTCATAAGCTGAAATGTTGTTTTTGACCAGGTGAGAAAACATGTTTGCATATACACGGAGTGTTCCCATACATGTACGTGCCATACACAGGAGAAGAGGATGGAGACAGCTTAGCATATCGACTCGCTGCGTCATTAGACTCGGCGATTAACATTTCTCTAGGATCGGCTGGATCCAATATTCAGCATGTATTCAAAATTCAGCGTGTTTCGGGAGTGTAAGAATAGCTAATAATTTTGCACCAGTTGAATGAATCTTTAAAAGTATACATTATTTAGAATAAAATAATCTTTCTGTGCAGACCGTTTTACGGATACCATACGAGAGAGCACCAGTTTTTTAAGATCTACTTTTACAATCCTGCGATGGTTAAGAGGGCTGCGGACTTGTTGCAGGTTCGTACCGATATTTAACTACTTCCTGTGCGTTATATTTTAAGGCCATCCCATATTCTGCGGAGTATTTACCCTTTTAAAAACTTGACCTTTCAGAACGGTTCGGTGCTCGACCGCAGTTTGCAACCTCACGAGGCGCACATACCGTACGTAATGCAGTTCATGATAGATTACAACCTGTACGGGATGAGTGCGATAAATCTTCTCAGCGTGAAGCACCGACGACCCGCTCTCTCAAAAGACGAGGCGGAAACGACCCTCGATGGCGGGTCACTGGATCGAGGTCGAGCTTTCGAGGAGTATCTTCCGACCTCCGTGCTTCGCCAGAGCTCTTGCAAGCTGGAAGTCGATGCCTGGGCTTCGGATATCCTCAACAGGCGGACCATCCAGAAGGGGATGGAATTGAACCCAGGACTGGAGGCCATTTGGGAGGAGGAGAAAACCAGAAGGTCGCGCGCCGGTCTTGGGGATTCCGACTCTCAGCTGGTCAACCCCAAAAGTCCATCTCGGCCATTTTGCCCGCCTACGGAAAACGACCTATATCAAAAGCGACGGCTCGAGCAAAGGCTGCTCAGGATATCCCAGGTACGCTGTGCGACAACTTGCAAATACTTCTACAGCGCAATTTCAGATTTTTAACAAATCCGCTATCACGGTGAATCTTCCAGAATGACGAAAGCATTCTGTTCACGAATTCAAATCCGTCTTCCTATCCGATCGAGTCGTCGGAGAAAGAGAGCCTGCTGAACGCTTCGTACATTGAAACCCATGTTGGGTCATCTGTGAGGAACCAATCTTCGGGATCTATCACACGAGGACATCTTGAGTCGCATTCGCTTAACGAGTCGATACAAGGGAGACTTCAGGGAAGCAGCGTGGACTCCAGTATCTGTAAGTTGATACAAATCTTCCGTGGTAATAGAAAGAATAAGGAAAAAATTTGTATTTTAGAGATTCGACAAAACTAAGGATTTATAATTAATTTTCAGTGGATGCAAACGACCTGTCCTTGATGGAACTGCTGGCTAATTTAGCTTGCGACGAGGAGGAAGACAAGTTCGACGAGGACAGCGTCTTGAGTTCGCAGAGGTCGGGGATGCCGGAAGATCCTAAGAGCGATAACGAGGACGAGGCGGTAGACTTAAATCTCACGTGTTTAGAACTGGACACGCTGAGTTCCTGGGACCTGAGTCAGAAAACGAATAGCCAGACAAGATGCATCGATAAAGACATTCCTGCGGGATGCGGTTCGCTCCGATGCAGTCAGTCCGTGAAAGATGCCACCCTGGTCGAGGTCGAGTGCTTTCCTCAGGACAGGTTTCCCCAGCTCGATGGGGCCGGGGATTTGTCGCCAAACAAGTTGATAACTGAGGAGTCCCGGCACATCAGCAAGGTTTTACCATACCCCCTAAGAGAGACTGCACCTCGGGGCTTGTCGAACGACCTGGACAAGGTGCGGGTCAACAACTCACAGCATCAAAATCCCGGGGGAAGCGCCTCGAGCCACCAAGCCGAGGCACTCTTCGACTTGAACCTATCCTCCACCTTGACCGACAGCCTCTACAACATTGAACAGTACGGCGGAGTTTTCAACGAGCTGTTCACTCGGTTCCCTGATGGCGGTCCCGACCTAAGCTCCGACCTGGAGAACCTGCAGTCGACCGTAGAGATCGGCATGCTGTCGCCCAGCATCGAGGACGCGTCGGAGGCCAGCAACGAGAGCACCGAGGACGAGAAGATCCCCTTGGACATGGTCCTCACTGGAGACCCCTGCTTCACGGAGAGCGCCGTCTTCGACAGATCCGACCTTACCGAGCTAAGAGATCAGTACGTGAGTCTGTTAGGTAGTGCTCTGCTTCCCGATGTCCATCTAGGACCCGTAATCGAGGCGACACGAGGACCGGACGACGCGTCCGAGTCCAAGCGCGAGAAATCCGAGGCCCCGGTCGGGTCTAGGTTCACCAGGTCGCATCTCGCCGACGGAGGCGGCAACGGCGATGGCGGATCCGGCCCGTCGTCGGAGAACGTCACGCCCAACATCCAAGAGCCGGAGAACGCGAGTCGCGGGAAAGTCAAGATGGCGGACGGCGTCACCGAGGCCCCCGAGACTGGAAAAGAAGGTAGCAAAGTTTTCCCTGACAATTCGGATTACAATTGTAACGTAGTCGCTACTTGGGAAGAGCTTCAGAACCTGAGGTTCGTCGAGAAGCAGTCCGGACGGAGAAGGCGGACCAGGAGGAACGGTAAGCAGATCCTGCACCGGGCAAACAACGACGGCAGAAACGAGAGGACGCCTGCCAGCAAATCGAAGAGGAACGCCGATGCTTCAGCCGGCGTCCACAGCGACGCCTCCTTCGTCGTCTCTAACAGGATCGACGACACCACGATCAAGCTCGTCCTCAGGAGGGAGAGGATGGTGGACGTCGAGAGCGTGAGGAACGACCCGAACAGGAAGACGTACGCTTGCAAGAGGGCGACTGCCCTGTGGAGTGGGAAGGAGAGGTCTTTGCACAGGTCGCCTAGAAACAGGAAACAGGTGTTGAGGGGTTCGCACGATGCTAGCCAGAGTGGTCTCGTCCAGCAGGTATACGAAACCTCGAGGGAGAGCAGCTCGGTTCCCAGCGAGTGCGTCTTGACGCACGGAGAGTTGGCCTCTCTGCTGCCGGTCTACGCCTTCCCAGTCGACGACGTTAGGGAGACCTTGCCAGGAACTCAGTGCTCCAAGTACGATTCCGTTAACGGGGAGACGCTGGTCGACGAGATTCTGCGAGACTTCGAGGAGGCCAAGCGGTGCCAGGAGCGTTCGGAAAAGGAGAACCACCTAACTTCTTTAACTCCGCCGATCGACTCACATTACTCGTATTACTGCTCTCAACAGTCCCACAATGGCTCGATTTACGGTACCCGAAGTCATGTACATTGTGAAATCGGGAGGAAGGACATGCACCAGAACCATGTCCACTCTTCGGAGCACATCTGGGTGATCGAAAAGCGGAAACGGGGGAAGCCGAAGAGGTTCCAACCTGTCGTCTGCACCAAGACTGGGTGTCTACTTCCGGTCATCTTCTTGGAGAAGATGCACGTCAACGACCCGAGTCCTGGGAACACGACCCTGGTCGACGAGAACCGATGCTTCCGGGTGGCGGAAGGTGAGTCCTCCTGTCGAGACCCGAAACGCTTCCCCATGGAAAGCGCACCTTGCCCAGCGATAAACCAGGTTACAATTGATCAGAGAAAACTCATTCGAGGTAACTGCGAAGTGAATCCGACGCCGAGCGATTTACCCGTTGCTTGTAGCCAGGTAGAGAATCCGATGACAAAAAGAGCTGGACAGTCTCCTTCGAAGACCGCCAGTCCTGCAAAAGTGGCCGTCACAGTGAAAAGCTCGAGGAACTTGCGGGGCATTATTGGTGAAAAGACTCCGGTTATAATCAGTAAAATTTCTCCCAGGTCCCCGACCAAGAGGAAACAGAGGTTGGTCCTGGTGAAGCTGCATAAAGCCTTGGATGAGCGGCCACGCGGTTCAAGCACCTTCGAGAAGAGTATCGGCGAAAAGAGCTGCGAGAAAAGTTCAAAGTGTCACGGAAACTCGTCTCTTCCGATGGATTCGAGCGTGGTGTCGGACTCGAAGACCTCTCTGACGAGTAGTTCCGTCGACACACAAGGTGACTTCAAGAACTCCCCGAAAGAGTGCGATAGCATCGACTTATTACGACCGATCTCCCTTGAGATTTCACCTAGGAGAATCTTACCTCGTCGCGGCTCTCCTAAGAAGAATTTCCCTGGCTCCCTGAATAAGGATGAGACCTACTTGAAGAGACACGGTACCATCGACAACGTCGCCGATGAAGCTAGCAAAGTGTCCAGCAAAGCTTCGAGCTTGGATCGAGTACCTTCGATGGAGTTGCAGTTGTCTTCTGCCTTCAACTGTTTGACTGAAAATGTATCGCTGCCGGTTCAACTGAACGTTTCATCCGAATTTCGGTGGCCCGTGAGATTGTTCAAAGAGAAACAAGTTGTCAATAGCGAGGGACTGGTTACACTATGCGAGCCAGTCTTGAGTATCTGTGCCGACAAGGAATCGAAGCGCAATGCCTCTGGGTCGTTGGCAGAGCTCCTGAAAGCGGGTGAATCAGAACTCAAAGAGGGAAATGTAAGTCTTATGGATGAGGTATGCAGTCACTCCGTAGATAAGGACCCGTTGGAGGGCTTGAAGACGCGTAACAAACTGAAAACTTTTTTGCAGAAGAGAATCAACGGTAGCTATGACGACCGCTCGAGTATGGACTGCCTAGAGAACCCGATAGAGACCATCGACCAGGAGAAGATTTTGTCGTTGGCGCGCAGAAGGCTGTCCCCGAGGAAACAAGGAAGAAGAGGCAGAAGAGCTCTCGATGGCTCGAATAATAACATTCGGATAATCCTGCCCGATGAGAATCGGACGAAAGACATCGACGTAGAGGTGTTTGATGATAAATCCTCTGCTCACTCGGTCGACTCTGCGATCAGGATTGAAAATGACGAGTCTTGCACCTTACGAGAACATGTTGAGGTAAAAGTGTTCGCCGTTTCAGCAGAAATTGTCGAAGGAAGTGACGTTGATGTAAGTATTAATCCTGAAGTAGCCTCTGCGAGCCTCCTCGCTCCCCCCGCGGATAAGTTTGAAAATAACATTCTCGAGTCCAATGTCATGGAGGACAACCAGGATTTTGTCGACTGTGCGGAAAAACTCGAGGAATGCCCGATAGTAAGCTGCGTGGAAGACATTGGTCTTCCGGAAACGGAGCCTTCCGAGGAGCTGGATTTAGGTGGAGACAGAGAGAAGTGCATGGACGACATCGAGTTGCCTGAAACGGAGCCGACCTCGCAACTGGATTTGGTCACCGATCAACCTGTTCTTCCTACGGATGACTTTGTCGGTCCTGACAGTACCATGGACTTTCACCAATGCAGAGAGTATGCCATCGATGCGATAACATCGGAGATACCAAAGTGTCTCTTCGAGGAGGACTCGAATTCTGAAGAGGACAAGCAGGCTCCAGAAGAGCAAAGTGAGGTGGCCTACAGGGACCCTAACAGCAAAGCTTCGGTGAACATCAAGGAGGAGCTTTCGCAGAGCTATATTCCTGATCATAAAGGCTTGGATGTCTATGATCTGGATTTAAACTTCGATAGCATCGACGTTACCGATGACGAGACCATGGACACCTCAGCAGGGTCCAACGTAACTTGTTGCACTGTGACAAAAGATAATACGGAGACCCTGCAGTCTGATAAGACTGTTTTCCCGGACTCCGATAACAAAATTAATCAGAATTCTGAAGAATGTTCAGTGACGGGAAATTTGGGTAACGGTGGCGTTTCTATTAATGAATGTCCCGGTTTTCAAGATTATCCCATGATTAATCGAAATAGTCTAGAAAATGGTAGGACTGATGAAAGTGGGGAAATTAGTGTTCGTGGCGATGAAAATATTTTAGATAATGAATACATATCAGTAGAGTCCGGGGAAGGAGTTACAAGTCTTGAGGAACAATCCGAGGAGGGTGAAGACAATGTGGGGAATTGTAACACCGATAAATGCAGTGCCATCGATGAAGGTCAAGAATGTCTCGATGGTAAGTCCTGCATGGAGAATCATGACATCACAAGAAAAGGAGACAAGTATGACAGGATAGTTGAGAAAAACGATGACATCGACGAAGGAAATAAGGATGATGAGTGTCAAAACAAGGAGTGCCAGGAAAATATCAAAGATCATGAAGAAAAGTACAACGACGCTAATGAAGATAAAAGTGAAAATGAAAGTGAAGGAGGAAATAGAGAAGAAAGTATTAATGTTAGTGGTGATAAGTGTGACAGTGTGGTAAGAAAAGTGCAGAAATTGACTCCTGCTATTGAAGAGGAATTTAATCAACTTGCTGAGAATAAAGGAAAACCTGTTAGCAAGGAAGAATCTGAAGAGTCAAGTGACATGGAGAAAAATTTTAACGAACGAAAAGTTATCGAAGATGAAAGTACCACAAAAGCTATAGAGGGAAACAAGGAAGATCAGAGTGTAGGAGAGGATATTTATAACAACAATTTAGAATGCCATAGCAGTACAACCGATGATTCAGAAACGCAGAAGCTTGAAAAAGAACGTACCGATGAGAAGGAAATGGATGGGGTAGATTCGATTCAACATAATGCCGTAACGGCATCAAATGATAAAGATGATACCAACATGGTACATGACAAAACTGAAGAACCAGTTTGCGAACAGCTTAAAAGTTGTAAACGTGTTTCTATAAAGTTGGAAAGGGTCGATCTGAATCGGATGAACTTGACTCCCACGAAAAGTAGGAAGGTAGAAGTTACAAAGGATTCTCCAATGTCTCCTCGAAGCAAAAGTCAATCACCGGTCGAACTAGAACCAGGAGCTGCTAGAACAAGGAAGGTAAAAGTGAAAAAGCATGTTCGCTTTAAAATTAATCCGACTCATAGGTCATGGGATAACGAGGAAAGCGAGGAATCAACACGGAAAGTTTTGAGATCACTCAAAAACAAAGACATTGTTCAAGAGTTGCCTGAAACTACTGACTTGATGAAGAACAAGCAGGATGCCACCGAGCAAGAGGCAACGAAGAAAATTAAAAATTCTGAGACAACTAAGAAAACTCAAGATTTGGAGACAATCAAGAAAATCGAAGCCTCTAAGGCAATGAAGGTCACGTCTGTATCCCTAACACCAAAGGAAGCACCCTTCCCGAGAACAACGAAGAAACCAGAAATATCGAAGAAAGCGGTCGACCAGAAACAATCGAAGCCAGCGAATGAACTTAAGCCACCAGAAGAAACACCTAAAGTAACGGAAGAAGTACGCGTACCATCGACGGTGCAAGAAATCCCTTCATCAGGGACATCAAAAAAGATCCAAGCATCGGCCGGTGTTAAAAAAAGGAAACGAACTGCAGAAGAATTTACCCTCAAAGAAGCTAACCTTCTAGAGTTGAACTCCGTCGAGGTATCGACAACCTCTAAGACACGATTGAGGAGGGCAAAAGGTTCACTCACGAGAGAAAACATCCCGAAGATAAATCTTCAAAACCCATCAAAGAAGAAGCAGAAGACGGCAGAAGCCGATTCAAAGACAACCCCTGAATCCTCCGATAAATCTCCCTTAATTAAATTACCAAAACAACCCAGCGATTCAATTACACCGAGAGAACATCCCGTCCTCGAAGCGGCGACACCAGCCGAAGAGCCCTCAAAAAGGAGGAAGAGAACCCTCGAAAACGAGATTGAAAAATCGATGACCCCCGAGCCAGCAAGTGCTCCAGTGGAGGACAAAACCGAACAGAAAATCCAAAACAACGAACTCTTGAAACGTAGAGTTCTTCAAATTAAGGTCTCATCTCACAAGATGTCGAAAATGGCTCGAGTGGTGGAGAAGATATTCGTCTCGCGGAAGAACAAGGTGCAGAGAATCTTCTTTGACCCTAAATTGTTGATCGTGAGAACGTCGTTCAACGAGGGCCGCTTCACCAAACCGTCAAAGAAGCAAAACTTCCTCCTGCACTTCGGCCTGTGCACGGTACGACCCGACAAGATGGAATGGCGAGCAGTAACCTGCAAGACAGCCTACATGCAACTAAAGGAGCCTCGGGTGATGCTGCAAAAGTTGAGCCCCAGCACCCTGAGGAAGTACCGCAGGACCTGGAAGAACAAGGCGAGTACTACGAAGCGCAGGACCCAGAAGAAGAGCAAAAGCAAGCCGACAATCCCAGCATTGGACGGCGCAGCGGACGTCGACTCGGATTCTTCCGACGAAGAGCACCCTGAAGAGGAAGATGTGACGATCGTACGGGAGGAGACGCGCGTCTGCAGCTATGGGGCCAGAGCTCTCTCGGCTCCGCCATGCAACGCGATTGTAACGCCCGTTAAGAGGAAACGCGAGGAACCTAGAGGTAACGAATCGCCGCTCCGAGAGTCGCCAAAACGATCAAGTACGTTGCGGAGCCCTGGAGCTAAGTCGCGCGGTTATCGTCCGCTAAACATAATTGTGACATCTCCGAAGGTACGTAAAAGTTCCGCGGGCGCGATAGCTCCCGAATGCGGGGACGAAGGGACTTCGCCGCTGCACACGCCCAGGATAGGAGGTCCACTGCGGGACAGCCTGCTGCGAGACAGGGTCTTTCGACCGTCACCTGCGCTCGTCAGTGGTAAGATTAATTTTTATATTATTTAAATTAGAGAAGTGTATTTGTACATAGATATTCAGGGGAAAAAGAGCTCATTATATGGTATTAATGATGGATTAGAAATGAAAATATTTTTGTTATTACATCTATTGAATAGGTCTCACCCGAGGTGGGAGGTCTGCGAGACCACTTGGGAGCGGTAAAATTTTCTAAGGTTTTTATTAAAATTAAGATAACTTCTATGGGTCTTTCTGATGTCAGATTTTACGCGGTCTTGTGAACTCATTATGGCATGATCTTGGGATAGTTACGGTTGCGTGTGGTGTATATTCGAATCGTCTTTGATTCCAGGAAAAGAGAGTTCGAATGAAATTACCTGTGCACCGGAACAGCTTGGTGAGTTGCGCAGGATGTGAGTCTCGTACAAGTTTGTTTTCTGATTTTTTTTAACGTATGTACGCGTGTACTGACTCCTGTTGGCGCGACCTGATTTAACCGTGTTTACGTCTTGATGTTTATAGACCCGATGGCAGCCATGCGATGACTAGAGACGCGGTGCTGAATAATTCTGTAAATCGTGAGACGAGAGGCGACGACGTCGATCAGGAACACGAAGGTGATGATCACAGCGGAAGGGTTCGCAAGAGACTTTGTTTCATGCCCGTCGAGGAGGAATGCAAGACGTCCGAAAACGTGGACAATGTCGTCGTTAAGCCTCAAGAGAGCATTATGGAAAAGTCCCTAGATCACCAGGTTGCTCGGAATATCGAACGTGAGACTAAACGCGAAATCGAGTCTTCGGAAAATCAGCCCGATGTCGATTCGGAAACGGAGTTGCAGGCTTTAGACGTCGCTCAGATAATGGCTGAATCGGATTTATCCGATGGTGAAAACAACGATGAAAGATTTCTTGAGATTCCTGAACACCCCGATGGAAACAGATGGGAGCTGGCTGAAGCGGGCGATCAGCTGATCATACCACGTGACTTTGACAGCTCGCAGCATGACGACGACAGACGCGAAACCGACGAAGAAGCCGAAGAAGACGCCCTTTCTAATCTCACTTTCACGGAATACATGGACTCACGGTTGAACAAGCTCACCCAAATATCGTCGCATAAATCGGAGTTGATTCGCGGCGATAAAAATCGAGATGTCGCGATTGCTCCCAAATTTGCACCGCCCTCGCGTAAGAGAGTAATCGAGAGCATGGAGTTTTATGGCATAGCGAAATTCCGAAACGTGGAGGCATTCTACAGCGTTCAGTCGGACGTCGCAAAGCGGAAGGAAGTCTCGCACCGAGCTGTCATGGTACCTGGTAAGGGAGTGACCGATTTGGCAAAGTTTAAGTCGGAATTGAACGACGTCACCGGTATAACGCTTTGGCGAAGGATGAAGGCCAACGAGCTGGAACAGTTTGGAGGCAGGAGGAAGTCCAACTTGAAGCGTGGTCTCGCAGGACATAGATCATTGATTATAGAGCCTCTTCTTGCCCCTCCTAGTGTCCACGACGTGTGCACGTGGCTTAAAGTTAGGAAATATATGAAGAAGAAGGAGGAGTCATGCAAGCTTGCAACGGCTGAGATGGGTCCAAGGTCGATAGAGTCGACATCCGAGGTTCTTTCAAATACTGCTGGACAGCCTGCTGATGGGACTTTCAACACGAGGGGTAGCAGCGAGAATGAACGTCTTGGGGGGAAGAGCTCGAACGACGGTGCCGATTCTTATTTAAAGAGGGCGTTAGAGAACTCGAGGCTTTGGGGAGACGGCGACGAGTCGAAAAGCGGTTTCGGTTCCGAGGAAAGTGGTCCGGCTCGGCGGTGTACCGATGAAATGTTGATTTTGAGGGGAGGCCTCCAAGGGAAGGGCCTTCAGAGGGCGTCAAAAAGCTCGAACGAGAGCATCGATTCTTCCCTGAGGGGGGCTTTGGAAAACTCCAGATTCCGCAGAGAAGGAGAGACGTCGAAACGCGTACATGTATCCTACGGGCAAATTGAATGCCTCACCGAGGCCACGGCAAAGGACGCTGAAGAGGAGAATCTACAGAACGCGAAAGCAGTAGCTACGGTAAATATGAAACGTTGCTACGTGGGTGATCGCCACCGTGGAAAGTTTGTTGACGTGAAATTGTTTTCACCCAGCACCAGTACTTGACGGTGTTGTGCTTGGAAGTGCACGTCATTACGAGAGGAAACCTTCTACCAGACCCGCAACAGGATCCTATTCAAGCTTTATTCTATGTGATTCAAAGCGACGTATCAAGCGCCTCGGATCGTAAAGCTTTGGAATGTGGTGAGTGAAATTAGTTTCACCAAAGAAAAAAAAAATGAATGAGCCGAATTACTTACGCGTATAATGATAAATGCATTCCCTTGGTTAGGTATCATCGCAGTGGATGCTGACTACGATGCATCAATGAAACGATCGGGATACCTATTCGGCTCAGGTGTGACATGTCCAGTATTGTATGCAGGCAATGAAGAAGCTTTGTTGGAAAGCCTTGTGAATTTGATAAATCGCCACGATCCGGACATTTTCATCGGATGGGAAATTGAAAGTCTGTCTTGGGGCTACGTCTTCCAAAGAGCTTCTCGTCTGAACGTAAAGCTAACCACTCGAATCTCACGTGTACCTAGTGCCAGAGGTACAAAAGACTCCCTTACCTCGGATTTCGAGTCCCATTCCGACATCAAAGTGACGGGTCGAATTGTTCTCGACTGCTGGAGATTAATGAGGCACGAAGCAGGTGAAAATCTAAGCTCTCTTTTTTTAATATCATTTTTTTTTTTAATATAAATTCTATAAATCGAAAAATATTCTGTAAAATGGACATTCTCTTATTTTTTTTAGCGCTGTTGAGTTATTCTTTCGAGAACGTGATGTATCATGTGTTGCACGAGAGATTGCCAGAGTCGTCGTTTAAAATGCTGAAGGACTGGTGGATGCATCCTAGTCCAGGGCAACGGTGGAAAGTTGTGAGTTATTATCATACGAAGATCCTTGGCACTCTCAAACTTCTCGAACAACTGGACCTGATAGGTAAATCTTTCGTTTGCGCGTGGTTAATTAATTTGAAATCGTTTTTACAACGTTGACTCATTTTCCAGGCAGGACCAGCGAGCTCGCTCGACTGTTTGGCATCCAATTTTTCGAGGTCCTCTCCAGAGGCTCGCAATTTCGAGTCGAGTCGATGATGCTGAGACTGGCTAAGCCTTTGAATTATATCCCGGTATCGCCATCGGTGCAGCAACGAGCCAAAATGCGAGCTCCTGAGGCTCTACCTCTCATCATGGAGCCAGAGTCAACATTCTATGTTGACCCGCTCGTTGTTCTAGACTTCCAGAGTTTGTACCCGAGCATCATAATCGCTCACAACTACTGCTTTTCGACGTGCCTCGGGAGAATAGAGCACATTGGACAGTACGTATTTATTTTTACCGGATTTATGTTCACCGCTCGAAAGGTACCGCCCTGATACCGAGCACTGTCCCTTGCAGGCCTCATCCTTTTGATTTCGGAGCGACCTCCCTAAAGATTTCAAAAAGCACGGCTTTGAGATTGGAGGGGAAGATAAACTTCTCTCCTTGCGGCGTGGCTTTCGTGAAGTCGTCCGTTCGCCGAGGAATATTGCCCAGGATGTTGAAGGAGATTTTGGACACGCGGTTGATGGTGAAGAAAGCCATGAAGGATCATCCACAGAGCGACCGCACACTGCAACGAGCTCTTCACTCTCGACAATTAGGACTTAAGCTCATTGCCAATGTTACTTATGGCTACACGGCTGCGAACTTCAGTGGACGTATGCCCTGCATCGAGGTGATTGTCAGTTTAACGATTTGACTGGTTTTCAATGGCGTTGCGTCATTTTGGAGTAAGAATTGCCTCGACGTAGGAGGAATTAAAAGGATCTTTCGGTTTAGGTAGGCGATAGCGTAGTAAGCAAAGGCAAAGAGACCTTGGAGCGTGCTATTAAATTAGTCGAGTCCACGCCGAAATGGGGAGCTCGCGTTGTTTACGGCGACACAGATTCCCTCTTCGTCCTCTTACCCGGAAAATCGAGAGAGGAAGCCTTTAAAGTCGGAGCAGAAATAGCCGACGCGGTAACAGAATCCAATCCAAATCCCATAAAGCTGAAATTCGAGAAGATCCTGCAGCCCTCGATACTTCAGGTACTGCTCCTTTCTGAGGAGCCTTATATAGTAAAAAGGAAAATTAACCAAAGCATTAAAATAATACTTCTTACTTAATCAGACTAAAAAACGATACTGTGGCTATATGTACGAGACTCCTGACCAGGCCGAACCAGAGTTCCTTGCAAAAGGAATAGAGACTGTTCGTAGAGATGGCTGTCCTGCCGTTGGAAAGGTATGCATCAATTTTACTGACAAAGTCATTAGGAAATCGGTTTCATTTTTGGAAAGATTGTTTACAACGAGTGTTACGTATTGCAGATACTTGAAAAATCTCTGAAGATCCTCTTCGACACGAAGGACGTGTCCTTGGTGAAGCAGTACGTCACTAGACAATTGGATAAGATCTTGCGTGGCAGCGTCTCATTCCAGGATTTGACCTTTGCAAAGGAATTCCGTGGAATGCGAGGATACAAAGCGGCGGCCTGTGTCCCTGCCTTGGAATTGACCAAAAGATTGTTGAGAAACGACCCTCGTGCCGTTCCGAGGAACAGCGAGCGAGTACGATACATCGTGGTTGCTGGTGCACCGAACGAGCCTCTCATTAATTGCATTCGCACGCCCTGGGAATTGATTGAAGACCCTGGCCTTCGACCCAACGCAACCTACTATATTACCAGGGTCATCATTCCTCCACTCAACCGATGCTTTAATCTCTTCGGAGTGGACGTCAACGCCTGGTAAGAAACTAAGGCCACGATATCGATGTGCATTCTTCCATTCTACGCCTTTACTTTTGTCCCTTCTACTACCTCAGGTACAACGAATTGCCGCGACGCCAGACGCCTCGGAAGAGCGTTCCTTTGCCAAAGGACAAACAGAAAATGACAATTTCTCAGTATTTCGACACGATGGCTTGCGCGGTCTGCGGGATTTGCTCGAGTAAAGAGATATGCGTGGACTGCGCCGTGGAGCCCAGTCGGGTTCTGGTCGTGCTACACGAGAAGATACGTCAAGCGGAAAGGTCTTATTGCAATATCGTGAAGGTAAACCAACGCGAGTCTTGCGTATTCGCTGTGCGAAAGATTACACCGGGCGCTGGTGAAAACCGACGGAAATATACATACATTTTTGCTTACCTCGTAACTGATTAAATGTAACATCGTTACGTTATTATTTTCTTTAATCCAGATACTGAGTGTGATATTACAGAGGCAACGTAATTTTACTGCAATTCATTGTGGCGTTAAGATAACTTAAAATAACAAATGATTATGTTAATTTACGTGGGTATTTTTTATCAGTGCGAGAGATGTCACGAGAGGTCGCGAATCTATTCAATTGGTTTTTAGATTTGTCAGTCGTGTACTGGACGCACCGATGCTGCCGACTGCGTGTCTCTGGACTGTCCGAATTTATATCGCCGCGCCCAATCCCGAAGGGCCTACGAGGGCACGATTCGCCTGCAGCAGCTCATAGAAAGCGGGAGTAATCTAAACTTTTAAAAGGATCCCTTCCCAAGACTTCCAGCAGCATTCGCCTTCTCCAAAACGAGGTATAAAACAAGTAGGGAAAAAAAAAGAGAGAAAACAACCAGATCGCGGGAAGAAACGTCCGAGGGAATTGACCAAAAGCGCACCGACTCTATATCTGCGCGACCCTAATTTAAGCAATTACACCCCTCAGTTACATGCACACGGATTTGCGTGAAATTTTTTTCACGAACTACATATATTTTTCACTTTCCGAATTTTTACTCGTGGCCTCAACCGCAGTTAGAACGTAATCGGCCGCTCGGCGGTGTCTTTTTATTCCTCGTAAGTTGGATGAGGGGTAAAGACCACTTAGCTGGTGATCGTTAGGAAATGAAGTGCGGGAAATCGTCTTGGTTCCGCCGACTAACGGTGCAAAACCAGACAGGCGATTTAACCCAGGAGCCTCCGAGGCGAGGGAACATAATGATCAAATTCTCTCATCGCTTGTTCCTCCCCGTCGGCTTCACCTAACGTATTTAAACCGGACTCCCGCAAGTCCGCTTGCTAGTTTTATATCGTGCTAAGATTTTAAGAAAGGGCCTCATGAATTCCAAAGACCGCGTGGACGGAGCGGCTCGCGATTCCATTTGTAGAAAACTCTCCAACCCGAGCGGTCGTCATATCCCTTCATTTTAATCAAGGGGGATGAACAAATTCGCACCTAATCGTACTTTAAACGCGGCTCGAGGTTTTCGAGCAGGTCGTCGAAAAAAAAGATATATATATATATATATACACACACACACACATAAATATAAAATTTTGAATTTCACCCGAGAGATTCCCGACTCCGCGAGGTCGTTCCAAGACTTTCCACCTCGGAAGCCGATTGACTGCTTTTTATTTCACGAACCAAAAGGGGCTTCCCGGAGGATTTACGAGACGACTCGCGGATTCGAGGGCTCGCGAGACGTTAACCTTTTTTTTTTTTTTTCATTTTACGTCGACGACTTCAGGCTCGAAAACCGTCGAACCTGATCGAGGATCAGGGTGCGCTTCCGGCCTGACATTCCTCTGCCAGGGATCTCTGCCGCGTAAATCTCCATCTCGATGGATCGCTGTGAAATATCATTAGGAGCTTTAAACATTAAATTATAGTAGGTAGACCTCGCGACTAACGACTATCTAGTTAATAGTAACCTAAGGGAAGTTGTGCCATCCTATCGTCTTTTTTACGTGGAGGGGGAGGGGGGGAGTACGTCCTCGCATTGCCCAATTGGTGAAAATTCGAGCCCGCCTTCCAGCTTACATATATTCTACGACGGGGGTGGCAAACCACTCGATGCTCCTGGGATCGAAAATACCCTTCGTCGAAAAAGAAAACCCGGGAAACACCAAACGAAGTCGTGTATTCGATCCAAAGAGTTCTTGTCCTGCCACGTCCGTTTCCACGCGACGAAACGCGAGCTCTTTCTGTCCTTGCGTCTTAAGGAAACTCTCGTGCCGAACATTCGCGTTATCACCAATCGACGAACGTAAATAAATAAGAGAGGGAGAGATAAAGATAACCGACATAAATATGTACATATATATATATTTTTTTAATAATCGNCCCCAGTGCGAGGTCCACACGAGATGCGTTTTCTTTTCTACTTCTTTTTTTTCTTTTTTTGGTTTCCCACCCTTTCTTTCTAATCTTTCGGTGGAAACTCGGCGATGGAGACGTCTCGACGTGCGCAATCCGTATAGGTATCTCGCAATTAGTTTACAGTCGGTGAGAACGTTTACAGTTGTAACTAGCGATTAGGAATGTGATATAAAAGGGCGTAAATGCGCCGGCGCAATCGAGGGCGCCGGTCGGTTAGAAAGAGCAACGTTCTTTCCCTTCGCTGCATAAATCTATGTATATTATATAAAGTGCAGGGTCGAACCGCGTAACATTCACCTCATTCGCTTGTAAAAAAAAAAAAAAGATGGGGTCCTGTTGGGCAGGTTCGTCGTGTACACCCACGACGTGGAGGGGGAATGAAAAAGTAATCGACCGCAGAGTCGAAACTGAGAAAGTACAAGTGTAAATGCAAATAACATTCGTAACAGAGGGTCTAAAGAGATATAACGTCTACTTTTGTAGCGTCTTCCCTTCTCCGCGATGGGCGAATTCGGAGTTAAGGGAAGAAGCTCGGCGCGAAGCTGTCGCGTTTTGTCCTGATCGGCAACTTTCGCCGGGCCTCGTTGTGTACATAGACTCGAGCTTTTTATATCCGAATCGCCAATCGAAGGATCCGTCAGAGACGGGAACTCTCGAGGGCGACTCTTGTCAATTGTAACTGCAACGTAAGATGTATATATGTAGGCACGCAAACGTAAAGAGGCTCGGTGGGTTCCTCGTATTTGGCGAGAAACTCAGCCGAGCCGGTAGGTGAATCAACCGGCTTTCTTTTCTCCGCTCAACGCCGATTCGTTCGACCGTCTCACCTGTCGGGCAATGTTTGCATATTAATGTCATAGGAAGTGGAAGCTTAGTTAGTCAGCTTAAGTCACATTTGAAACCGAAGACTAATATACTTGACATCAGGTGGCGATCGATTTTAAAAATAAAATCCTCGGTTGTTGGCCCTTTTGTTTCCCGATGCCTCGAGAATTTCTGTTCTCACGTGTCCCGGCACCCTATTCTCGAGTTCGCACGATCAACTTTCGCACTGCGAAATTGGAAATTTCGTGTACGGCTTTGAAACATTGACCAATGACGATACCTTATTTTTTTCCCATGCGTATATATTTGTATGCGAAACAAATTCATATCAACATTCGATCAACTTTCGCATGCAAAATTGACAATTTCGTACGCGGCTTTCAACCGTTGACGAATGACGCGACATCGCGACAATGCGAAATTTGTATACCTATCTATTCGTTTGCAAAACAAATTCGTATAAACATTCGTATCAACTTACGCGTGCGAAATTTCGTATACGATTGTTCAAACGTTGACCAATGAAGCGACTTCGCAACAATGTGACATCTTTGTCGTGGGAATCTATTTCTATGGGAAAGGAAGAAAAAAAAGAAAAGAAAATCTGTCTGAATTCGAGAATAGGTCGCCCGCCTCACCCTCGCGGAAAATTCACACAAGAAACGAGAGCTCTTGGCTCACCTATTAATCGCGTTTCCGGTGCTCCAGGACATGCTAGAAGTGTACTACTCCTCGCTAGCTTGTGATAACATTGCCAAAATTGGCGAAATTGTCCTGGGAATACGCACCCGTTGTTCATTGTACCGGGCGATCGAAGGGCATTCGATTGTCCGGCACTTTCGCGTGCGTATTCATTTACAGTGTTCGCTTCGTACCTAAATACTCGGAATAGCTCCGACCTAAAGCGAGGAAAGACGCTTCTCGCGTGTTTCTCGGAGTTTTCATTGTTTTTCTTTTTTTTCCTTTTTCCATTCAGTGATATATCTTATACTGCGTGTCGCGTAGCGGCCGAGAAGGCTCTAAAAAGTTATCCTCGATTTCGGCTCTCGAAATTGACTCGCTCAACGGGAAAAAAAAAAAAAAGAAAAAGAAATCGAAGGAAAAGAAATGAAGAACGACGAGGGGTCCTGGAAAACGAATTCGGATGAAAGTTTCGCCTTTCGAGCGCGACCTCGGTTCTCGAGTAGGGGACGAACGTTACTCTAGATTCGCGCGGAATTTATTAAACTGCTCAGAGAATATACTTCTATTGGTTATTATTACTTAAGAGTTTATTCGTATTAAACACGGAACTGATATATATGATACGCTACAGTCGGATGTTCTGTTTATACGGAAGCTATAGTTTACTTTTACGTTATGATCGGGTAGGCCCTTGCCACGTTGAAGGAGGGGTCTCCCCTTGAGTGAATCCGCGATATGCGAGAGCGAGGGAGAGAGAAAGAAATGTAGACGGTACACCGAAGTTTGCAGGAAGTGTGTGTGAGAGTGTGTACGAGAAAAGGAGAGTGAGAGATAGAGAACAATGTTTGAGACTCGCGATGGACGGTACTCGATGTTGAGCTAGAAATATATTTGCGAGAAACGTTGTGAAAATTATAATTCTAAGATTATTATCCGAGGTCCTCGCGTCGGTGGCGTTATGGCCTGGGCAGTCCTTGGCTCGCCAGTCGAGCGGTAAGGATCAAGTTCCCTTGACCGGGTATCCGAAAATGATCCTTAACCGAGAACGTCGAAATTCGCCGTTCGATCTGCGATACGTCGACTGTCCATCTCGGGATCGATAGAATCGAACGAGTATGCGGAGCTTGGGCACAAGTTCGTATAGAACACCGAATTGTATTAATTATCTGTAATAAGTCGCTGCGTTGATATTCGACGTGATGCCGTAACGCAGGGGAAACGGTTGATTTTTTTTCTCTTTTTTTTATACGAAATAAATCTAGGAGTAACTAAAACGGGGGATTGCGGCCTTGTTGTATGCTATTGTACACAACACCATTATTATGCTATCGGGTGCTCCTCATTATTCGAATGTCAACGCCAGTGCGACGAGTTATTGCGGATCGTTTCTACCAGCCAACAGACTGGAAAACTCGAAAGTCATTATACATAAGTCCCAGGAAGATCTGAGAATCACTGGTACCGAAAAGGAATGTCTAAGCAATGGGTGGTACTCGTGTATATTATATTTTAAAGGCTGTACTCGCAATAAAATGCCTTTCGATTTAATGATAACCGTTTCGTGAATTCGTAATTCACGTAACATCAGGCACTGACAGTCTTTGAAATTTAATGTGCACTCGCGCGCCTCTATTTCTATGGCATGGTTAATTTAAAAGTCGAGTTTTCTCATCTGCGTGAGCTCAAAAACTCTCGGGTAGCTCTGTCCGGAAATAAAAGGAAAACATTGATGAGGAGGTTTTACTTGGAGTTTCCGACGACGTCGCGTTTTAAGGAGCACGCAATCGCAGCTAAAGTTTAATTCCTCTCGCCGTTACCAAAGCCCTTTTCTGTTTCTTTTATTTCAATTAGTCCTTTCTTTTTGTACCTTAAGTTACCAGTCTCCTCGCCATGTATTTTCGTTTCCTCAGAAAGAATCCGGGTGCAAAATTTATCTTAAGGAGAGAACAAATGAGTTTTCAAGTTTCGAGGAACTTTGCCTTTTCACGAAATGAAATGTTTTTCATTTTGATACTTATATATATATACACATATGTACTTTTTAACCAAAGTTTGTTTAACAACGCAATTTGTACAATTTTCCACCTTGCAGTATACGAGTGTGTAGTGAACATTATACCCCAGAAATATGAAAGGAAGATGAATAAATAACCCGAGAAATTAATCCTTCACCAATTACTGTGATCACTCTACGCATTCATGTTGTAAAAATTAATACTGCAAAAAGACGTGTCGACCAGTCGTAAATTCCGTGTCATTAGGACGTAAGTCATAAATTAAAATAGAGGTTCAACATATATGCTTATTGTTTCATAATGTTTACTTAGACCATATATATCTAATCTGTTACACTGATTTCACTTACAATATGTATATTATATCTTTTTTTTAATACTTCATTGATTGTTGATCCACAAAAATATAATTTTCAATCGTGAAAAATAGGGTCCGACAGAGATTGGATACATTAAAACCTACAGGTTACTGTAATAAGGTAGTGCCCTGCGCAATATTAATCTGGCAGTAGATTTACACCTTGAAACTTGGTATAAAATTAGATGACACATTTTAAAAATTCATCATTTAAAGATTTAGGCCCAATGATCACAAATATGTTTTAATTACTAATATACAAAATACATGAATTTACAGAATAAATTTCTGTACCAAAGACCTCAATAACTTCAAAATATAATCTTCTATTTAGAGGATGATTTACTTATTAATATGATACTCATCAATATACTATGTCGTACAAGCAGTTGTATATTCAATTAGTTATTTTAAGAACCTTAGTCATTGGTCTTTTGATTAGTTTAGCAGGTCACTCTGTAAATAGAAACTTGAATTGAAACGAGTGTCATCTTTCGATAAAAAGTTGTCAAAAATAATTCTGCACTTTGATCGCAATTAATGCATGAGTCTGGGACTGGTGACGTTTAATTAAAAAAATCTGCCGATGCAAGACATCAATGTTATTTTAAGGGGTGCGGAGGATAAATAAAACTCGAAGTAATCCAGTGACGGTAGCTTGCCATCTCTGGAGTGACCGATCGTTCTAGATCACAGTACAGGAACTCTTCTCCCTAAAGGGATTGGACTTCTGAGACGAAAAGCCAACTAAGAGACAGTCCTCTTGCTCGTGTTCCGTGATGTACATCATAATATCTTCGATGGCTTTACTGACCATGATCCGTTTGATCGCAGCTTCACGCCTTAGCTGTTCGGTTACCTGGCGTTGGTCCTGCAAGAAATAAATATGCATGAGCCAATCTGGTATATGGTAAAACTAATAATTTGATAGCTTAGCATCCGATACATTTCTAGACCTTAAATTTAAATTACGATACTTAAAATGATGAGAAGGACAAAGAATAGGATAATTCACACGACACACCCTAGGAAGATACACGCTCATATTTTCTAGTGTTAATTGATACAATAAGCAAAAAAACAAAGCGAAATAAAACGTGGTTAAAGCCTTAGTATAACCTGTAAGGTCGTGATCACCATGTTCATAACAGTTGCGTCTGACAGGCCTATTTTCGGGTGTGGTCCGCTTCGAGGAAACCGCGACTTCAGCAAATTAGATCTGGCGTACTCCCCAAAGTCGTTGACTTCATTCAATTCCTTGGTAACGCCGTTCAATGTTTCAGAATTAAACAAGCTGCACTTATCCGAAGGTTTACGACAGGATTAGGATGCAGCTCTAATGACGATATATTTCAATAAATATCTTGTGAATATCACAAAATGTCACTAAACGCCAATCTTCGTGATTCGAAAACAACAATGGTGTCACATTCTAGAATATAGCAGAATTAAAACCATGGTTAGCAGAGATGTGTTGGGAGATTGCTTATGGGCAGGATAGCGCGATCGAAACCTGTGCTGCCCTCGGTGGAAAATGCTGACAGCAGGTGCACTCTACTATGATGTCAAAGAAATTCAGAGATAAGTTGGGAGATTGCCCACGGGAAGGGTCGTGCGATCGGATCCTGTGCTGCCCTCTAGTATCGAACGTTAGCTTTCACCGTTTTTTGCCCCCAAGGGCGGCGCAACGAATTTCTG